AAATTTTGTTCAATGCAATTGTATTTTGGATTTTTGCTAAGAGTAAACTCAGGAGTGTGAGTTAAAATTTTCACTTTAGTTAGTATTTAGTCTTTATCACTGTAGTAGATGCATATGATGAATATTATTTTTTCTGAACAAACTTTGCTTAAAAACTAGATATAAATTCCTTTTCTCTTAGTATTTCTTTGTCGAGCCTCAAGAAGAAAGGTTATAAATTTCAACATAGCTTTGGAAAGGGAGGACTGTATAAAAGAACTGATGTATTACTGTTTCTGTTAGGTGTGTATCCTAACAACTGTGTACAACAGTTTTCCTTGCTTGTCCTTTTCTTTATGTTGGAGACACAGACCACCTGATTAGGACTGGAATAACAATATTAATATGTAGTGTATATCTTGTTTCAATTTTCTGTCAAGGAACAAACCAGTCGATGTTATTGCAATGGGAGGAGTATCTTTCAATGAATCCAGGCCTAGGTCTCTTCTTATTCAGTATGGGGATTTACCACCTGAAGAGAGTAACTAAAAATTTCCTTTTAAGTTGCCCTACTATCATATTTTATAGAATAAATAGGTGTAGAATTACTCAAGCAGCAAGGAAAGTATGCACTATTTCTAGTACTGAAGATATTAGTATGCCAGCACTGTAAGAGTGGAGGAGTTAAAAATACCTTGTGCTTCCTTCTCTAATCAAAATCTGTTCTTTTTATTTCTTTTGAGTGAATGCACACTCACATGCATCTAAGCAATTGAAACCGAATCTTTTGCTCTTTATAATATTGTGTTTAGCATTGCCCTCCTTACAGTATATGCAGTAAACTCAGTATGAAGAGACACTGAGTAGCTCCTCTTGCCTTCAGGTCAGAATTTCTGGTAATCTTAAATAAAGTAAAGCACCATGATAGGACTCATTGAATGTGTCACAGATTGGGTGTATCTTAAAGTGTATTGAGTGACTGATAAAAATCAATACTTTCTTAATAACAAAGTACCAACAAACAAAATGAAGAAGATTCTTCAGTGCTCTGCCATGGAGAGAGAAAATAATATTGAACAGCAATAGATTACCTGACTGTTTATGGTTTTGGTTCTTTTTGGTTCTGAGATTGAATATTAGCAGTTCTGATTACTGGAAAGGAATTCTCTTGTGTTTGTGTGTGGGAATGGTCAAGATAAGAAATTAATTGAGAAAGTTTTGGTTGTTGGAGGAGCTTTTGTTTTCTCCTTGTTGTGGCAGTAGCTTAGACAGTTAACAGTTTCTTCTAAAAGTCCCTTTTGCAAATGAATTCAAGCTGTTGTTTTTCTAACTTCCGTTGTTCAGAATGCACATCAATATGTCAAAGTACTTGCAAAGCTTACAAAACAAAATGTTTGCACTCAATTCGAGAAAATAAAACCTTTTTCCTTAAAAAATAAGCTGATACAGTATAATACTTTTTAAATCTTCCCCCCATCTGAAAGTCTTTAAAGCTTCTTTTAATTTCTAAAGATTTGTTTTTGAAATGAGATGCATTTTTCACATTCCTGCACTGACAAGTCAGTATTACTATGCATCAACAGTGATGAAAGCACTTTTCTCTGTGTCCTTGGGCTATACTGGAAATACTAGAGAAAAGATGTTCTTGTTAACAAATTATTTTTGTAAGGACACATAGATTTCAGTCATACAGTAATGTCAACTCGGAGCAAGAAGGATAATGGAGTAATTTTTACAGGGAAAAAGTCAGAGACCTAAATTATCCAGAGAGCCCCTATCCCTGGGATGTCAAACTTTTAATCTGCTGATTAATTATTCTGGCCTCTGTACCAGACTATGGTTCCACAGGAGCTCTAGCTTTGATTTAGGAGAAGGTGTGCTTCTAGGTATGTGAATGTAAATAAAATCTTTTGAAAATATTTTGAAGCAGCTCTAGATTTTCATGCCTATTGATGGGTTATTCCAATAATTGTAAACTATCTCATTCATTTGATTTAGTCTCAGTTTGGAAAACTGATGTTGATATAATTACGTATAATAAGTATAAGAAGGTTAACAACTTATTAAATTTAACAATTTTAAAGTATTCTGAATTAGAATATCATCTGGCCACTTCTGGAAAGGATAATAAATAATATTTTTATGAATACATTAATAGCAAAAGGAGTGGCAGGGAAAACCTCAATTCCTTCTTGGATGCAGGGGGGAATATGAGGAAAAAATGAGGAAAAGCCTGAGTACTTGAGACCTTCTTTGCCTCAGTTTTCAACAATAAGAAAGGTTGTCCTCGAGGAAATTTTTTTTCTCTCTTGATTTTTGCAGGTACATTTTTAGTTTTTCGATATATATTTAAGCAAAACACACTTTTAAAACAAGGAGATTAATCCTTCTCCTAAAAACATATATAAATGTTTTACCTGTTGTTTTTGCTCACGGTATATAAACAAAGGGATTATTAACTGGTGTAGCTGTTTTCCTCTGTTGTATAAATCCTCCTCAATTCAAAGATTATTTATCTGAAGGATACATATAAAGATAAGATAAAAGATGTTTATCTAAAAGGTGCTCTAAGAGCCCCTAAGGATCTACTGCAGCCTCTTGTGTCTATGCAGTTACCACATAGGACAAAGAGTCTACCCACTAATAATCTTCAAGAAACATTGATCGGAGGAAAAAATTACTGAACCCTGTTAAGGAGAAGTTCCTCTCAATTAAATACCTCTCTCATACCCACAGGAGTCTATATAACAGAGTGCTTGAACAATTAGCACTGAGAAAAAGTGGGGAAGAAAGAAAGCGAGCTCTAAAAAAAAAAATTCCTTTTCATGTAGGTTCAGGGTTGTTTTCTGAGGGGAGGGGAGGTTGTTTGTTTGTTTGTTTGTTTGGTGAAGTCTTTTTCCTACAGTTTTAAAGCCTTAGAAATGTCATTTAAAGAGAAGCTATACTATGGAAGTACATCCAGAAGCAAGTCACGTTACAGACTGAGGCAGTGTAATATCATTCATTACACATGCTTGGAAAGGTTCATTCATGCCAGGATTCAAGACGGATTTTTTTTTTTCCTCAGGAAACAAAGACTTCCACTTTTCAACTCTGCTTTTTTTTTTTTTTTTTTTTTTAACCTGAAATTGGAAACAATGCTACAAAGAGACCACAAAATTCAATAGTTATTGCAATTATTGATCATTGAACTGCAAGGGAAAATATTTCAAGGTGTGAACTGCATCCTGAAATTTAAATTCCTAGTTTGCTGACAAAATAAATGTTTTGCTAAACTCTTACTGCAATCACTTAAAAGAAAGGTAGGAAGGCTCCTAAAAAACTTAACTTAAATTAGGCAGCAATTTTATAATAAATCTATCCCCCTTTGGGATACAACACAGATGACTGAAATTCTGAAGATTGATAGAAGTTTCTGATGGACACTGATTCATCGCTACTATTTCACCATTCTTTTCACCAGGACTATTTTCAGAGATCATGTACTAATAAAAATCTCACTGATGCTTTTATGAACTTGTAGCTATGAACTTCAAACAAGTCTTTTTTTTTTTCTAGTCAGAGATTTCCCATTTTTCATGTCTCCAGATTTTGGAGGTCTTTGCCTGATGTTCTTGGTGTTCAAAGTCAGTATCAGATTTTTATTCTCCCTTGCTTCTTTTTGATCAGGAGTTTTTCCTCCTTTCTCTGAGCAATTGTTAAAAGCCAAATCATGCACATTCTTTTGGAGCAAACCTGATACATATTTTTATATTGCTAAGAAATCAGGAGTTAAAACTTAATAATTTCCCTGGGAATCGTCTAGATATTTCTCTTACATTCCAGTATGGATTTGTATTTTAAATTTATTTTAATAAGAATTGCATTAGGAGGATTTTAACTTTAAAAGGAGAGGTTAATACTTGTTTTCTTTAGCTGGTATCTAGAAATAAAGTAGCTTGTTTTGACTTAAAACCTACAGCAAAGGATTCAGACAATGTTTTTCACATTGGAGTATTTTCAATTTCGAGTATGTCTGAAACAAATGCCATGTGATGGAGATTGCCAACATGACAACTGAACAACCCGTCTCTTATCCTCTTTTTACTAATAAATCAATTTTTTGGACCTCTTAATAAAACCCAACCTTATGTGAATGTCATTTAGCTCCTTTAAATTAATACAGTGGTAATGGAAACAAGTTTCTAGCACTATGTGATTTTCAGTATCAATCAACTAAGATTCTCCCTGTACCTGTGCAACTTTTAGACCTGTGCATATTCTAATTTTGTCTGTTGAACTCATATATTCATACTCATATTTTTAAGTAAAGTTATGGTTGTTCATTTATTTCTGGCACAACAGAATGTACAAAGTAAATGGGAAGGGGTCCATTTCAGAATGTTGTGCTTCACTTCTTGATTTCAAAATGTACTAAAGTTTTATTCAGAGTCCTGCAGAAACTGATCTGAAATGAAAACATGAAACTTGGAAATAGATCCTGTGATCTGAGTCCTACAATCTTTAGGCTGTACAATAGCAGAATTATCCCTCAATAATGGCAGGAAGACTGCACAAAAAGGACACCATCAACCTACTGAACTCATAAAAAAAATCCATTAAAAGGCAAACCTCTGTAGTTAAAACAGAAAAGTTTTTTCTTCCAAATTAGGGCTCCTAAAGTAGGCTCAACTTTGCAGCTAAAATAAGATGATTTAATCCAACACCACATGAAAGGAGAATGCCAGCAATTAAGTCAGACTAGAAAGCTTTGTTAGTGATGGAATGCCTGGCTGGAGCTTGCCCTCTGAGGCTTTACAAGGGAAACAGTCATTTATTTAGGCAATCACTTGACAAACTACAAAAGAAATAAACTGATAATGGATTGGTACTTCAGGGGAACCAAAGGCTTTTAATAAAACTGCTCTGGACCACCCTCCTTCTCCTAAATATTAAGCTCTCTGAAATGTAACCTTCCAGTAACCTTGCTGGGATGCACGGCACTGTGATTCACCAGGACACCCTCATTCTTCTCTTTTCAGGCTCCTGCTCACATGGCCATAGGCAGTGCCAGAATGGCAAGTGTTACAGACCAGAACAAAGCTGTGATTTTGAAGACAACTGTGGGGATAATACAGACGAGAGTGAATGCGGAACTTCCTGCACCTTTGAGAATGGCAGATGTGGCTGGCAAAACTCCCTGGCTGACAATTTTAACTGGGTGCTAGGGGTCAGCTCGCCTCAAAGTCTAAGACCTCCCAGGGACCACACGCTTGGAAATAGAACTGGTATGTTGTCAGTTCACAAATAGGGTATAATTGTCTTCATGAAATGCCTCCTACCTTCACGGGCAGCAGGGGAGTTCTAAAATCTCTGATCAGGCTGTCATTTTTAATGAATTAGATGTGTTACAATATAAAAATATTAATTACCGTTGTACAATGAATTTAATTTAGGAAAATTGAGTCTTAGTTGTTTTTCATATGAGTCAGGCAAGATAATTTGATACTTGTCTGGAGAGAGGCATTGGTCTGGCTGCAATTTGCAAGGGTGAGTTAGCTCAGCTCTGAGATCCACTGGGTCCCACTCCTCCGGAGATTGAGGTCATTTTCAGGAAGCTTAGTTTCCCAGAATGACTATTCCTACTTTAATTTTAGATAATGTTAAATAAATAAATTTAAATATACAAAGCTCCTTTGTTAGTGCATCTCCGGGTTTATTTTGGCCAAAGCATCAATTATCTGCTCTTGTTCTTGCTACAAGCTCTGTGCCTTCATACTTTGCTTTTGAAGGTCCTGTAGCTCAGACAAAGATGCTACCAAAGCTGAGCTCAGAAATGACCTTAAATTGAAATATTCACACCAGAGTTGCACAAAGGAGTGATAGTAATTGTTGAATGTTTGCAAACCGCTGAAGGACAAAACCCAATAAACTTCAAAATATGTAGGGAAAAATTCATTTCCATTGTTTAGTAATATATATCTTTAAAGTATTATCACAAATATACCACTACACTTATTAAATATATGCTTGACCTCAGGAAAAAGTAAATTTCTTATCCTAGAATATCATGGCAAACATCTATGGTCGTATCTGAGCCAGAGATGTGTCAAAGTTAGAATAAGCCCATTTGTTTATGCATTACCCACTGAAGTAAAATTTTTTTGCCTAATTCATATACAAACATTATTAGATGCGCAATTATAATTTTTGTGTTATTTATAATACATTTATGTGTATGTGAAATACACATTTCTTATTTGTATGAAGGAAAAAGATGAATTTGAACACTCGGGAGAATTTTGTATGCTTCTGATTAAAAATAAAAATGGAAGACTCAAGGACCATATCAGTGTTGAATAATATCAACTCTAGGCATCTAATTTTGCAATTTCCTCTGATCAAATAATTTATCTATTTGTTAATATTCATACAGAATAAAAGATAACCAAAGGTAATATGAACCATTAGGGATTCCTAGTGATTTATAAGTGTATGTATTTTTTTCCTGTTTCACGAGTTTTTATGTAGTGTGACTTGCTATTTTGAAGATTACCTCTCAGGAGACTTTATCCTGAAATTTATCATGATGTGGCTATTGTGTGATGTATTGTCAGAATTGCAACTACTGCAGTTCAGCAGGGACGTGTAATCAAAGTAGCTGGAAAACATGGAACAGTTCCCACTCTTCTACACAAGTCCATCCAAATCTTAAGCTGCTACCACCAGCTTATTCCTGATGTAAGAAGTGCACAAGGAATAGGAATTGGTCATGTTTTCTCCTGAGCTGAAGTTGATTAGTATGAGACCTATGAGAGAAGTATTCTTCATACGTCTCTGCATTTACTTTGCTGAGTTTTGGAGTCTAATTTGAAAATATAAAACATTTTTTCGGTAATACATCATTTAATTTCAGGACATTTCCTGTATCTTGAGACCATTGCAATAAGCCTAATAAATGAAAAAGCCCATGTGAAGAGTTCCATATGGAAAGAATCAAGTGGGACTTGTGTGATGAGCTTCTGGTACTTCAAGTCATCAAAAGCCATGGGACATATTCAGGTTCTGATTAAGGTAAGAAAAAAATCCCTTTTCTTTTGAATGTATTATACCTGTAAGGGTGTCTGTGTTCCTGCAGAGTGCTTCAGCACTGTGACATTCTCTTCTTGAGCTGACAGACTGGAAGAGCTCCCACGCTCCTCCTGGTTCTGTGCTGATTTTTATTACTCCTGTCTCTTAAAAACACTTTTAGCATTTCTCTTCCAAGAGAAGCCTCTCTGAAAAGCCAAAGAAAATATTTTAAAATCATGTTTTTATTTTCCCCTCTTCATATACAGTACCTTTTTTCTTTGATTTTCTCCATGTGAGGCAATTGTCATATTTTGCTGACATCCCTGTTGGAATCTATCAGCATACAGCCCTATTGTTCTGATGGGATGACACAAAAAAAAAAGAGTTACCAAGCTGTAGAAAGTGAGAATAAAATGCAAAAATATGACTGCATTAAATAATTTATTTTTTTATATAAATGGGTACAGAGTACCTAATCAATTTTATTTAGAAATATTTTTTCTTCACTAAATGTGAGGTGACCAAAAATTATTTTAAAATACTATCTAGTTATTAATTCGTAAGTGAAAACTGAGACATTTTTAAAAAGTTGGCTGTTCTTTTGCTGTTAATTAAAAGGGATTATAAAAACATTTTTAAAATCATAATATGATTGAGGCTAGAAATTAATTCTTATGTAGAAATTGTGCATCTCTGTGCATCTCTTCTGGTTATTCAAGTATAAATCATGGTGCAATGTATTTGCCATATGTCTGTTAACTTCGCTTCCTACAATATCTCTAATAATGTCTTGGTGAACAGCGTTAAAGTTACTGTTTATTTCCAATGCCTATGTTGGATGACTTAACTTTAAATGATAAATTATATTTTTTTCCTTTAAAACAAATCACTAAAAATGATTTCTCCAATATTCTGGATAATATAAAAATAATTTAAAAGTCTGAAACTTAAAAGATTTCAATAGACTTTAGTAACTAGATACACAACCTGGGATACGTCTGCCTGGAATATACAAACAATGAACCCTTTAACAGGCAACAGGAGATTTTTTTCATTACTTAGTCCAAACACCTACAAATAACAACAGATCACTCAACAAGTAACTGTATAGTTACTGAGATATTTTTATACAACTCTTTTTCCCAGAAAAGCTCAAATTTGTAAAGGAGGCAAGTAGATTTAAAAAAAAAAAAAATATTTGTCTTTTGAAAATAACTTTCAGTTGTTAATGTATTAGAAAAATGAAAACAAAAATAGATTCCATTGCATAAAACAAATGTAAAAATAAATATTTATCTTAACTCAAAGGTCAGATTATGTTCTCATTTCATTACTGCCTTGTGTAACTTGTAGTAACCAAATATTGTAATTATAAGCATTTTAGGATTGTTTCATTTTAGTTATAAGCTAACTTGTAAACTAACTTTGGTGGAAAATAATGGCCAGCAGCATCAGGCGTGTGTGAGTGGTTTGTGTCACTGTCACTTGTGTCCAGTAATTATTTTTTCCACCCTCAGAATGGACAAAGTGGTTTAATTTTTTTCTTCTATAGTAATCTGAACACAGGTTTTCTAGGTAGTTATCCTAATAATAATAACCTGTAGAGATTATTTTCTGCTGCACTAAGATTCAAACATATGACTTTTTAATTTCCATATGACTATGGAATTTTCTGTATGACAATCAATATTATTTTTTCTAGGTTTTGAAAATATTGTGTTTTCTCTTTGTTTTATTCTCATTCCCCCGAGACATTGCCCTCTTCTTATATTCACCTTATTTTATTACCCTAATAAACTTTCAATACTATTTTAGTGTTATTTTAAATCCCCATCACCAGAGACTTTAAAGATAATTTTAAAGACAGTGTGAATAGAAGATGTTTGAGTCATGACTTATTCTTTTTTTTTTCTTTCTTTTAATGAAAACAAGAATTCTACCTGGAGATAGGAAAGATTATTCTCATCATTGTACCTGGGATTTTTTGCAGAGCAACTTAATTTCACCTGTTATGCAGCTTATAAAGACCCATAAGTTCATATTTTAATTGGAGTTTCTGTGTAACAGTGTCTGTAAGAATAAAATCTAATTAAACAAGACATAGTCATGGGAAGTCGTACTGAAGCTTCTCCTGCTGGTTCAAACTGCAGTACCTAGATATTTCCACCCAGATTGAGTATCCCTCGATTTAAAGTTAATGTTAGTTAACACTAACAGATCTCTAGGTAGTGATTAGTTGAAAATAAAAAGAAAATAAATGATGAGGAGATGATCTGGGAAGGTAATTATCATCTCTAGTTTAACAACTTAGCAAACTGTCTGTAGCTGAAGTCATTCCATCCATTGAAAGTTTAACTGAGAGTGAAGATTGTATATACAATGGAACAGCCATGAACAATAAGATGAGGACATATTTTATAGAGGCAGCATGAGGAAAAAATTTCTCTTCTTCCAGAATTATCACAGTGGAATAAAAATGGTAATCAAAGGTAAAAAAAAAATTTTTAGAAAAATTATGGTTTGCATCAGTGTCTTTTCTTAATATATACATTGCTTGTACACTTTCAGGAAGTCTAAGAATATTATCTATCATACTATTAAAATATCTCAGATATCTCAGATAATGAGATAAACAACAACTAGAAATAAAACTGAGACTATAAAAAGGTACTATTGCCAAGCATGAACTTTTTTTGTTCAAGTTTGCAGCTGGAGAAAATCAATACCTCTTCCTAATGGAATTTCTCTGAAGTTACTTTTGTTTTGATTTTTTTCTCTTGAAATTGTACTGCATATTCTTTAAAGAAAACCCTCTGTGTACAGAATAATAATAATCCAGTCAAAATGATGGGCTGTTGAAGTAGCTGCAAACATATAGTATTCTTCAAACTGACCTCCTCAGTATTTATGTAAACAAAAATATTGACAGTGCAGCTGTTTATGAAGACTGAAATATCCAACTCACTGCCCATCTAAATTCAAATTACGAAGTTTTTGATAGCAATGTAAAAGAAAACAGAACATTCCCCAAAGAGATCTGGGTATAACTAATCAAAACTTTTTCTAGTGAGATTTTGACTCTAGTGTTTTGATTCTAGTCTTGACTGTGGCAGTTGTAAGAGAATATCATCCATTGTGGGAGATGTTCCAAGGATCAAGTGCAGCATGTTCACTGTGCCTGTTTTAGTGTTGATGGTGGGGCATCTCAGCAGCATTCAGTTTACTTTATGAATCAGAAGAAATCGTGCGTTTTTAAACATGCTCATAGAGAGGCAAGCAAGAATTATTAAGTGAAAGGGATAATACATTTCATTATTCTGCTGATCTAAAATAAGCTTTCTACTGCTGATGAAGTTGTCTCTGCTATTGAAAGAACCAAGTCTTAGGTATCACAGAAGGAAATCAGCAACAAAGGCAAAAACCATTTGTTGAAAATATTTTTTGTGGTATCAGTGTCAATTGCTTTAGCATATAGACATTTTAATTTAAAAAGATAATTTAGGATCTAGTATAGTTCGGGGAAGATTCTTTTAAAGATTTGAAACAAGCCTCCAAAACCAGATGAATAATGAAGGTGAAACCTGTCATTAGTAACTCCCTCTGCTGACTGTGACAAGGCCAATGCACACAGGATCTCATTAGGAAATTCCAGTGGACCTTAATCAGGCATTTAATTAATTCCATCCAGTTACAAATAGCAAAGACATAAGGATATTCAGGAAAACAAGAAGTCCTGACCAGCACATGGCAAGTGAAGCAGGGCCCCATTTATACTGCAGCAGCAGCAGCCTAACCTGGCTGGGACATCAGGGAGCTGGAACCAGCATCCAGCCCCTGCAGCTGCTCAGGGCTGCTGCAGCACACACACCTGTCACCTGGCTGCTGCAGCACACACCTGTCACCTGGTGCTGCAGCACACACCTGTCACCTGGTGCTGCAGCACACACACCTGTCACCTGGCTGCTGCAACACACACCTGTCACCTGGTGCTGCAGCACACACCTGTCACTTGGTGCTGCAGCACACACCTGTCACCTGGCTGCTGCAGCACACACCTGTCACCTGGTGCTGCAGCACACACCTGCCACCTGGCTGCTGCCTTAGCCAAAGCTGGAAGCCAGCACAGCTGCTCCCTTGGTATTGTTGTTGCTTTTAACCAGCCGAATGTAGAGAGGAGAAGGTTGGTCACGGAGAAATGTATGGCTTAGCAGGTGCCACAGCTCAGGTATAGATGACTCACAGTGGATTATCTAATTCCTTGGTTAGTTTTGATGGAACTAAATTTTACTATCCCAGGCTGTGGACATGAAAGTCTGCAGCAGAGGATCTGCAGATGCCAGCTGATATATTCTGGACATTTGTGTTTGGAGGATCAAGTAGCTTTAAAGTGACATTTTCACAAATCAATATAATTTACCCTATTTCCATGGGAAGTCGCTCAAGAATAAGGCTTAAAGAAACTGCTTGTTCTACCTCAAGCATAAAATAGAATGTGTATTTATACATCGATTCTTCTCACTGACTGCATGAAAAACAATTGACCCCTCACATTAATATAGAAGGTAGAGATTGTGTTGGGTTCAGGTAGCCTCAAAGCAGGTTATCTGACCTCCATGAAACTAGAGAAAAAAAAATAAGTTTTCAAAGATTTGCTTGACTGCTTTACTTAAGAGTTTGCTGAACTTCAAATCATGCTCCAAAAAAATGTAGACTATCCGTAGACTTAATAAACATAGACATAAGGTTTATTTTGTAGGCAAAATTAAGTTATTAGCAAAATTCTTTACCAGCAAAGAGTAAATTTTCCTGGTATTTAGTTCCACATAGCAGCATAGTGGTAATGGCTTTTACTTAATGAGTATCTACAACTCTCAAAAGGGCACAGTTTTAAACTATTTACTCCAATTATTGACCTGTGAACTGTTATTAAAACTTATATTTGAGTCAATGAAATGTCATTTGACTAATGAATAAAAGTAAGAGAATATTAGTCCCAAGAGTTC